AAGAGATTTAAATTTAGTTACAATTTAAAGAGCATATAAATACACAGAAGATTAATGATAATGGTTTAGCTTTCAATCTCCAGATTTATGTGCTGTGCTCTATGATATTTTACTTTAAATCTAACTCCACGGGGGAGGAAAATTGAGGGAAATGCACTCAGAGTTGTTGAAATTTAATTCTCAGTCCCCAGTTCATTTCTAGCTTCTGCTAATCAGCTGTATGTTGAGAGGCTTCTATGAAGACCGAAGACGCTTAATGATGAATGAGCCTTCTTGCTCATTTACTATATTTATAGTAAAGGTGATTAATTACTGAAAACTGTGGCAAAAATTTCAGTCTAAAAGTTATAAAAGAAATAGCATCAAGTGCATGAATTGGAAATCAGTGCCATTTTATGATACAGCTTAAAATTTTGGGTGTGTGTGTGTGTGTGTGACATAGTCTAGCAAATGACTTCAGGTAACCTATTAGGGATTATTTCCATTTAATCTGGAGATATATCCTCAAAAATTGTCCATGGATTTCTGATTAAATCTTACTTTTCCACACCAGGGAGCCAGATTTGAACTTTTCTTTAATTCTTACAACCTCTGAAATGTTTGGTGTCTATAGAATAAACTATTCCATATTTTCCAATGAAGTATTGAAACTGATATTGTAGAAAGAGCAAAAGTCAGTAGCAACACAATACAAAAACCCATGCTGTGCTTTTGTAATCTGCTTTTCCTCAAAAGTTTTCTGAAAAACAGATGTATACCACACACATTCACACACAAACCGGACACATGTACTCACATACACAACACATACACTCAAGTACACACACTAAACACATACATGACATGTATACTCACGTACACACACTTTATACACATGACATATACACTCATGTATACACAATACACACACACTCACAAACACACACACACCTTATTTATTATATATGTTAAAAGAAAATTATTTAAAAAATAAAATCCTTCAAACATTTAGGAATTGGTTTTTTTGTACTGTGTTTCAGATTTGTCATGCATGTCTCCAAGTCTTAACTAAAGTAAGGCAAGGAAAGTCCTGTCAGTGCAGGAACAGCACCCTTATAATGTACAAACACACATACACCACAAAATCAATGCATTTTCCCTGTAAAATGTAGGAATAAACGAAGTGTTGCAGGGAGTGAAGAAAGAGTTGGTAGAACAATACAAAAAGAATGCAAATCCTTGCAGGGCCAATCAGGTACTCAAAAGAGATGGTCTCTTGTGTGCTCAGGGAAAGTGTTGGGGTTTCAGCAGTTAAGTGGGAAGAGTGATTCAGGGAAGTAAAGAAATTATGTGTCATAGAGGGTTGAAATAGGCAAAATGAGAAATGAAAGATAGAATGGTCAGACACTGGGGCAGAAGGTGGTGCTTGCTGAGGACTATGAAGGAGAGGGAAATGATGTAGTGCACATATCACCAGCTTACATCATGCAGAAGTGTTTGGATTTAGTTTTAAAGGTAAATACTTGAAACATAACTGAAAGATGCCCCAATTTGTGCTTGGAAACAATTAGAATGAATACTGAAAGCCATGGAGAAGGTCTGTGTTCAGTTAAAACAAGTAGTAAGGGGTTGGGGTGTACCCATTGCACATTCCAACTGAAACATGATGGAGGATGCTCTATATTAGGCTGGTGGAAATAGGATGCAGAAAGAGGCAGTTTGGAGAACCGTGTAAAGGAGGAGTGAGATAATGTGGTGACTGTGTGGGAGATGTGAGCTTCAGAAGATAATGAAGAAATGACTGTCTTTCACATTTTCTTCTGGGCCACAATTGATGGAAGGTTGGATAAATGGATGGACGGATGGATGGATGGATGCATGTTAATTTTAGTCAACAAATTATATTTCCTGAGCTACCTAAACAATTAATCTGCTGTTAAAAGTAATTTTACAAATTACTGCCTTGGGCATACATTTAAATACATACACACAGTTGACAAACTTATACTCTCAGTGAATGTTTCATTACATGGTCTGTGGAAAATGCCATTGCTTCCTTGAATGTGTAATTTCTCCTGTAGTTTGTTTATGCTTAACATAAATAGTAAAGTTGTTTTAGGGCAAAGAAGATATCATATGTAGGAAAGAAATCATATGTAGGAAAGAAATTTTTTTAATTTAAGAACGACTTGGGCTTAAAGTTGTTATAACCTTTAAAATCTATGGAAGTTTAATGGTTTTTGTGTGTTTCTTAAATTCCCAGTGCTAATGTCTAGCACAGAGTTCTTTGACGGATTAAAACAAATATGTGAAAGATCTGGTATACCGCCTTTCAAGCAGTGGGCACCCAGTTTTGCTGCAATTACCTATTTATGTGCTTGCAAGTCTTGTTTAAAGATGGACTTGTTTTCCTCAGAGAGATGTTCTTTTGCACTTCTTGTCTCTCCAAATATCCAACAAAGGGCCAGCATATATTATGGAGTCAAAAATATTTGTAGGGTATTCAAATTTGTCTACTGACACATAGAAAGTTTGATTTCCATTGTAAGAAAGAAATTTGTCATAGCATATAGTCAGTCACACAGGTCTCATCACCTTGACCTCAAATGGTTGATTTAGTAAAAAGATGTATCCCTTGTTTCACTAGAGGGCACCAAATCATTGCCCTAAAATAGATGCAGAAAGAGGGAATGGGGTGGGGTAGGTGTAGGGAAGGGGGTAAGCCTGGTTATAATCTCTATCAAATATCTGCTGGTGATCTCAGGGGGTGTGTAAGAGTTTTAGCCACGCTTTATCAAGCAAATTTTCACAAGCATATAATTATATTCTGCATGTCGTGAAATCTGATACGATTTAATTAAGCGCAGGGGACTTTATTCTATTCAGTCGCGCAGAGGAGAAAGTGAAATACTTTGAAAAGACATCATTGTATTTCAGTCAGGCCACAAGGGTGCATTGCTGTGGAAGCTTTGTCTAGTTTCTACTCTCTGCAAACCTTTAATTCTTCCACAGAAATAAACTGAATATTTTCTTTATAGTCTGAAGGACTTGTGATTCCCTGGGGGTCTTGTTTACTGTTTGGAAAGGTTCTTGAAGGCAGGGAAGCTGGTTTAATTTTCAATCTTCAGATTTATGTGCTGTGCCCTGTGACATTTTACTTAAAACTAACTCCACTGGGAAAGAAAATTGAGGGAAATGCATTCACAATTGTTGAAATTTGATTCTCAGTCCCCAGTTCATTTCTAACCTCTGCTAATCAGCTGTGTATTGAGAGGCTTCTGTGAGAGTGAAGATGCTAGTGATGAATGAGTCTTCTAGCTCGTTATACTAGACTGGCATCCTCTCTGTCTTTGTGTTTCTCTCTCTCTCTCTCTCTCTCTCTCTCTCTCTCTCTGTGTGTGTGTGTGTGTGTGTGTGTGTGTGTGTGTGTGTGTCTTTCTGAGAGTTATATTAAGTTGATTTTAGATTCTTTGAAATGTTGAACCCATGAAATGTCCCCCTCTATCCTTTGTGCAAATGGTCCTGTTGTTAATTAATTCTGCTTTGCATCACTCCAAAGAGTTTTGGTCTGATGCTTTGATAGCCTGGTTTGGAAGAAAATGATGGCTATGGAATTAAATGATTCTCAGATATGAATTCAACCAACTTGTACCAATAACAAGAAATATAGATACTAAAGTCAAACTTATTTTAGCTAAACCCTAGCCCAGTGACACCTTGAAATTTTTGCTTTAGTTCCTGTTTCTCTGTACACACACACACACACACACACACACACACACACTATGATATCTATCTATCTATCTATCTATCTATCTATCTATCTATCTATCTAT